CGGCTCGCTGCCTACTTGCAGCCAATCAGCCCGCTGCCTGCTCGCAGCCAATACGGTAACTCCGTACTCGCAGCCGATCATCAGCAGCCCCATGCACAGTATGTTGATCTGAGGAGCGCTTCTTGACTTGAGCAGCTGAATTGGATGCTTTTCAGGGCACGCATACGGCATAGCGGCCTGTCGTCGCTCAGTGACGGGCTCACACAGGTCCAAATCACTGCTACACGGAATGCCAGCTGCAGTATGCATGCTTCAAAGCGTAGGTTGAGGATATTGAAAGTTCTAGTTATTTTTTTAAATCATCATATTGCTTGCGTTCAATAGAGCATTTAGTTGTCGCTTCTCCCTTGGCTATCTGATGTATGTTACTAGCGCTTTGCCATGCTCGTGCCGTTCTGCCTCCACTTTCTTTCTATTTTGCTTGTGAAAACTTGTGGCTGCCGGTCAGTACGCGGGGATGCAGCACTGGGCAATCATGGTGCATGGCGGTTCGTTGCATGACTGCCATTTTTTTTTTGCTTCGCCTTGTTATTCCACTCACCTGCGACCGCGGCTTAGGAGCTGTATCTGCGGCATGATCCTAAAGGGTGGTGGCGTTCCCACGGCGGATGCGGAAACTCGGCCTCCAGACGAGCCTCAAACGAACCGTTAATTTTTTTAGCCTACTGCGTGTGTGTGTGCGTGAGAGGGAAAGAGTGCGTTTCCATGGTGATCTAGGATAGGCTACACGGTAACCACGGCAGCTGGTAAAGTGGTCACTTGTATCACCTATCTACTGAATAGCCTGTGCTCCGAGGAACGTAGGGGCCGACGTGTTTATGCTGCTATTTCCAAATATCTTCTAATATTATTTTGGCAAGAAAAGACTGGACTCTTGTTCTGTTTCTTAGACCCAGCTGCCTCCAGATGGATGGATTTTTTTCCCACCGTGATTCCTAGTGTTTTCTTTCACATTGCATCGTATTGTAGCGCCCCATTCCAGCATCTTTTTAGCCATCCTTGACTCCCCTCCTCCCCCCCCCCCTCCTCCCCTCCTTGACTAATGATGATACCTAGACGCGGGGAAGCCCGGGCCGGGGGACGGTATTACAACGACGGTCCACCCTGCAGCTGTGTGTCCCTAGTACACGTGTGCATATTTATATTCATTACTGTCGGTCGCCAAAGAACTAGGGGGTCAGCCTCCTAGCCTAGGCCGTTCTTATTTTCATGTATTACATTCTAGTATTAGTATGCATAGTTGAGTCACCGTGTATACATTGGTATGCTGTGATTGGTGAAGTTCTAGCCTGGTCGTTCTTCGGCGCCCGACAGTACATGTACTGCGTCATCACTCTAATACCTTAGCGCGAACCCTTGCCGCTCGCCTTGTGCAACGCTCACTGCTCTTGGAGCATTTCGAGCACTCCTGGCGGGATTTGCAGCTCTTTAAAAAAATGCTTTGCTTCACGGAAACGTACTTCATTGCGAAGAGCTGCGCTTCGGTCCTCTGAGCTGTGCTGAGGAGCTCTAACAGAGCGAAACAGTTGCTGTCCACAGATTTGAGTACTGTGTCATGTAAATAAATATTGTACATGTTGTTTAAACAATCGACGAGGAGACAATAGTCGTAAAATGGCAATAAATAAGATAAATTGTGCACTCATATAACAATAGCAAAAATGAAAAAACACTGATGACAGTCACAAGAAAACGTTATGGAACTTGACTTTCTTCATTTTGCTGTTGTTATGAGTGCACAATTTATCTTATTTATTGCCATTGTACATGTTGTTGGTAAACATTGCAAGGCTTATCTAGTACAGTGGTCCCTCTATAATCCGGCACCATTTGTGCCACGAAAATCTGCTGGATTAGGGAGGGTGCTGGATTAACAAATCTGATTTACTGCTGCAATGTGCATGAAGAGGACATTTTGGCTACTGAAAATTGTGCTGGTTTATCGAGGGTGCTGGATTATAAAGTGCCGGATTAGAGAGGGACGATTGTACAGTCATGTACATACTGTACATGACTGTACAGTGCTGACAACTGAAATCCGACCCCCTTGAGCGGTGGGTTCACATTCTTTGCGATGTGAGCGCACCGCTCAGGGGGTCGGATTTCAGTTGCCAGCACTGTACTTTAAACTGTACAGTGAAACCTGTGACTAACGACCACCCCTTGGGGCCAGAGAAAGCGGTCTTTAGTGGCAGGTGGTCTTTAGTTAGAGGTTTGCATTGCACAACCATACAGTGAAACCTGTGACTAACGACCACCCCTTGGGGCCAGAGAAAGCGGTCTTTAGTGGCAGGTGGTCTTTAGTTAGAGGTTTGCATTGCACAACCATACAGTGAAACCTGTGACTAACGACCACCCCTTGGGGCCAGAGAAAGCGGTCTTTAGTGGCAGGTGGTCTTTAGTTAGAGGTTTGCATTGCACAACCATACAGTCAAACCTGTGACTAACGACCACCCCTTGGGGCCAGAGAAAGTGGTCTTTAGTGGCAGGCGGTCTTTAGTTAGAGGTTTGCACCGCACAACCATGAATGTGAGACCGTCCTCGCCTGGCGAAGTGGTCGGTAGTACCAGGCTGGTCGCTAGTCACGGCGGTCGTTAGTTACAGGTTTTACTCTAGATGTACGTGTAACATGTTCGGGCCTGGTTTAAATCTGGCTTTGGAAAAATTAATTTTTTCATTGCTATTAATATGTACAGGTTCGGCCTCATTTTCTCTGTGCTGCGCTGATGAGTCCACAAAGGTTTTAGGACGACACCTTTCTGTCCGCAGCAGCGGATTGAGTATCTGTACGCTATTATTTTTATCAGAAGCCTTGCAGCCCATTCAGGCGTTACTGGCAGACATGGCTATGACCACCTCTTCTTGTAATCGCACCAGAACGTATCCTCACTGCTCAGTCTCCTCAAATCCCGTATCGTCGCAGTAGACATGTCTGTACAATGCACATGTACGTCATAATCATGACGCGATGTGCTGCCCACTGGTCACAGACCACTCATATTGTCATAATAATAATTATGAGCCCAGCCCATATGCCATGCGTCTGGTCCTGGACGTCTAGATAATCGTAGATTCCGCTAGGACCCGCAGGGTCCGACGTGGAATTGGGGTTACACGAGGAGTGAAGGCGAAGAATGTGACAGTGCGGCCTTTGTGTTTGGCCTCAATTCGCTCTAGTTTTCCATAAATCTCCAGCGGTTTAAAGATAAAAATGCAAATGCACGCCTTGATTGCACCTAGCACCTCTTGCTTTCTTTGGCCTTTTCTGAGCGACCAAACTGATAGTGCAATCAAGAGTAGTGGCAGTGAGGGGTGGGTGACACCAGCACAATGGGCGGGAACACACTGTCACATTCTTCACCTTCACTCCTCGTGTAACCCCGATTCCACGTCGGACCCTGCGGGTCCTAGCGGAATCTACGATTACACTTCGGAGCTTCGGCTTCGAATGTGACAGTGTGACTTTTAAAGTGATCCACCACCTCAACCAAGGCAAGGGCGTAGCCAAGCATTATGCGCGAAGGAGAAGCGCGCATGTGGAGTGAAGGAACAGGCATCTCGCAGAGTGCCTGATTATACAGTAAAAATGTCTCTATGTATCGAGGATACACCATATGTACAGGTGCCCTTCAAGTCGGAGACAAGAAGGGAGAAAAGGGTGACAGTCAATTAAAAACGACTAGCACAGGACACAGATAATAATACTGCGACACTATGGCGACACGACATGCATCCAGCTGCTTCAGCTCGTCTGCCAAGCCCTTGTTGGTAACGAAGCCTGTTATACCATGGTACGGTACGGAGGGCCTGTTTTCAGCCAATCAGAGGCTTTCAGCGCTCGTTTAGCCATGGTTATATTGTTGGGTTCTCGTCTGGGGTCAGCGGAGGACATTGATGCACGTATCATAGCAGCAAACCGGGCATTTTCCAGTGTATCATGGAAACGCCATACCCAGCAGTCCCGCTTAAGCATGTTTTTTGTTTTGTTTTTTTAAATGTTTATTTGAATTCGGATAGCTCAACAGTACAGAAGTACAACTACAAAGAGTACCGAATAGAAGGCCCCGAGAACGGGAAACCAAAAAAAACAAAAACAGCAACATCAAGTTACTGATTAGGCCACCCTTTCTTTTTTCGTTGTTTAACGTCCGCGCCCGCGTACCTTTTTGCCTCCGACCGGAAAAAAAACAAGAAAGTAGTAGTACCAATAATAGGCGAAGTTGTAAATACATGATTGTGTAGTTTCACAGTGTGCCGATCATGACCTTAATTAAACTTATAATCTTGCCTCCCGGGCATGCCTTTGTCTTGTGTTCTTTTTCTTTTTTTGTTGGCTTTTAAATATCGTACGGTGTGTGTCCTAGTAAAAATCCAGATGTAATGAATTCATGACATGCTAACTCCATATGCTATGTACCTGTTTTGTTGGATTCATCAGGCATGTGCTCCAATGTACCATCAAAGAGTGTTGTTCTATGCCTGCAAGTGCCGTTAGACCCAGAAATATTGTATATACCACATGCTTTACTGGTCGAAATGTTTGATTGGGGTTTCCAGTTTTTGGGATGGGCTTTTGTTTTTTTTCCGCCCTCCCGCGTACCTTTTCGCGAAAAAAAGGACGTTAAACAATGAATTAACAAAGGGTGGCCTTATGCACATTGCTTGAAAGCAAATCACAACAATGATTAAGAGTTAAGCTGTCTTTTAGCCAAATAGCCAATTTGACGCGGAAATCTGCGATAGTAGTGCAGGACTTCAGGTCGTCTGGTAAATAATTCCAAACAAGAGCCGATTTACTTGAAAAGGACAGAAAGCCAGACATAGATCTATAGCGATTGATACTCATGTTATGAGTTGTAGAGCCGCGAGTAGTTCGGGTAGACGTACAGATGGGAAAGAGGGACTGCAAGCAAACAGCCGGCTTAATACAGTAACAGTGGAAAATGAATACAAGGAACAAAAATACTGATCGATATTGGAAAGAGGAAACATTGAGGTGGTGAAGAAGTGGCGTGATATTAGCTTGGGGTGATGCGCCACAAGCAACTCGTACAGCGCGCCGGTGGAGTGAGGCTAGCTTGTTTCTATTTTTAGCGGATATAAACGAAAGGTATACAGGGAGAGCATATTCTAGATCAGGCTGAATAACACCGACAACGAAAGTACGTGTTCAACTGTCTCATTTTGCCAGTTCTCCTATATATTTTGCCCTTTTTCAAAATGCGGTGCAAATCTCACGTTACGTGTAATTTTGAGAGGTTAAGTTACACGTGCGACGTGACGTGAAATTTTGCCTGGCAGGATTCGGGTTTAGTTCGCACGAATATCAAATCTTCCAACAAACTCGATAAAATTCCGGAAACTCACACAAATTCGGTCGGAATAACCAAGCGAAACCTCCAAAAACTCACGTCATGAACTTACGTGCGGGACAGTCAACTCACGTAAAACACGTCAAATTTTACGTGAGTTTTTTCACTTTTTGACGTAAAAGTTCACGGATGTAAGACTTTTACGTGAAACTTAACCTCTCTAATATAAATCCTTTTTTTTTTTGCCAGCTACGAAGCCTCTTGTACGGGCAAAATTAATAAACCGATACAATCATGTCATGAAAATACAAAAGATGACCAAAATGATAAATCCCGGCGCACGGTACGTACGCTAGGGCACTGCCACCGTACATGTTCACTGCCTTAGGCTGTGTTTACATGAGAAATTTCAACCCGGGTCGAGTTCAGCCCGGGTTGAAAGTCTGTACGATAGACAAAAGAGGTGAGCGTTTACATGAAGGCAGTTGACCCGGGTCAAATACTGATATGCCGCCAAAAGTCCACTTCTACAGCCCTGTATGGTCACGTGAATCCGTTCGCGCGAAATTTGCATCTGCAGTGCCGTTCAAACCTGGCGCGAGATACGCACAGAAGTACGTTTGTACGATTTTCTTGACCCGGGTTGATTTCAACCCTCGCCCTGGGGGGAGGGTTGAAATCAACCCGGGGCGAAATTTCAACCCGGGTCAAGCGCAATGCGTCATGTAAACGCGCCATTCATTTTATGCACATGGCGGGTTGAAATCTGACCCGGGTTGAACTCAACCCGGGTTGAAACGCCTCATGTAAACACCGCCTGAAAGGCAGTGAACTAATAGTTACTTGTACGGCGGCAGTACTCCAGCGCACGGACCATACATAAACAGACACCACATGCACGTGTACGTGTACACTCCACACAGAACGGCACACTGACGAGGAACAGTACACAATGGAAAAGAAGAATGACCTGGA